AAGAGATTTAAGTACAAGTCTCAGTCCTAATGCATCGAGATTTGAAAGCTCTCGCTATTATTAATGTAAAAAAATACATGATATGGTGCTATTAAGCACGATAATGCACGAAATGGTGCGATTAAGCACGTTATGGCGCCATTAAGCACGACAAGGCACGATATGGTGCTATTAAGAACGAAAAGGCACGAAATGGTGCGATTAAGCACGAAATGGTGCCATTAAGCACGAAATGGTGCCGTTAAGCACGAAAAGGCACGAAATGGTGCCGTTAAGCACGAAATGGTGCCATTAAGCACGAAAAGGCACGAAATGGTGCCATTAAGCACGAAATGGTGCCGTTAAGCACGAAATGGTGCCATTAAGCACGAAATGGTGCGATTGAGCACAAAATGGCACGATTAGGCACGATAAGGCACGATTAAGCGTTAAAAAAATTTTTATCTGTAGCATGAACGGGGCTCAAGACTGTACTTACGAGAACAAAGCGATTTATCTTCATCAGATTTGTCCCTGCAGTCATAAGATCCATCACARGTCCAGGTTTGAGGAATACACTGGAACTTCGTTTTGCATTTAAAGGACTCCTTGGGACATGATTTGGGGCAATGATCGAGCGCTTCGTCAATATTGTCCCCACAATCGTTATTACCATCGCATAGCTGTCTCTTATCAATGCAGCGACCGCTGGGACACTTGTACTGATTAGAAGTACAGGGAACAGCAGTGGGGCAGTAATGCTCGTCTGAACCATCTTGACAATCATGGACTCCATCACATACTTGACTTTTGAAAATGCAAATATGATTCGAACATTCGAATTGATATGATGTACACTGACGTGCTGAGCATGCGTACTCGTCGCCGCCTGTGGGGCAGTTGTTTTTTCCATCGCATATCTGGAATGGAGAGACACATGTCTTTCCGTCGAGGCATTGCTGAGTCCCTGAAAACAAATAAAAAATGAATAATCCCTGAGTCGGAAAAAAAAATTAGTTAAGTGATTGCAGAATTCATTTTTGTATAAAAAAAGGTTAAATTGCCTTGAAGCGATTTTTCCAATTTATTTTRACGCTCAAAAATACTGGTTAGAAAGGATACATATCGTTATAATAGAAATTCTATGCGCGCCTTAATACAGCACACTTCAATGCTTGCTTCTCTTGGGGTCCATTTCTCTATTGTAAGCCCGTCATAACTTCGACAAATGAGACGTGGGGGCTATTTAATTGTTTGATAATATAATACAAATAATCATGGTGAAGTGCTTTGCCTGAGAATGTCATAGGTAACCGCCTCTAGATTCTGGTCATACACTTGGATGAGTTGAGAGATAAAGTACACGCGAATTCTTTACTTTTGTTTTCTTCTTTTGGTTGACACACATATAGCATTTGAGCTTCCCGCTCAAATTGATCATTGTTAATTTAATTTTCAAGCATTTGCTCAAATATTGAGTCGAAAATTATGTTTCAATACATATTTTACGAGTAATACCAAATGAAAAAGCGCCCTAAATAATAATCACAACTATATCCACGAGTAAACCATTCACAATTCCTGACTTACCAGGTGGACAGTGTCTCTGAGGACACTGAGACTTTTCATCACTTGAATCAGTGCAGTCAATGACTCCATCGCACCACCACAACCGCGGTATACACCGGTAATTGTCACAMRCCATCTCRTTATTGGTGCAGTTTTCAAAACACGTTCTTCCGTCGTTAGCAAGGTACATGTTGTCTGAACATGCGCACTTAGCTCCGCCRTTAGGTGTCAGTAAACATAGACCACTGCAGGCGAGTTTGGAACATGGTGGATTGTCGAGCCGAGGTTGAAGACTTGGATGAATAATCTAGGGAATGCAGCAGTATTGGAATAAGTTATGAACTAATATARGAGATAGGKGATTAACATTAGATTKGATTATCTRYCAAAGTACTTTCACAGACACTTGACRACGTGAAACATGCTGTAAACACTTGCAAGGTTATAATTATGTTGAGAATTTCAAGGATGATGCTTGCATTCAAAGACATTRCAGATGCTGAAGTGTACCTCTTAGCCACATTATTTCCTTGCTTCTCCTTATTCTACTCAAATCATTGTACTGATGAAAGAGCTATTTACAASTGAAAAATTCCAAAACGCTGTATAACAAATGACCCTTACTGTATGCAGTTCCGGCTGCAAACTTCAATATTTCCGTAGTAGGAAATGGCTCACAATTTTAGGCGAATCTCCTTTATAGTGTCGCTATTGCAAATACATTTACGCAAGAGCGACATTTAACTCCCAGAATGCTTTGCGTATYTTCACATTACGTCACACAAATCACCTGGATGTCGTAGAGTTTYGATGTAGACTTATGCAGTATTTGATGTCCCGTACCAGTCCACTTGAACGATCGCATGATTGTTGCAAGTCTCGCATCTGACCAGTAAATATTATCTTCATATACAACGATACTGAATGGGTTTTTGACTTTAAAGGATGTTAACTGTGTTCTGTGAGAGCCGTCAAGGTTGCTATACTCCAAACGGTCAAGCACTGAGTCTACCCAAAASAGTTTCTTGGACAGGTGRCAGAGAGTTAGACCAGAGGGCATTAACATTTTGGCCTGTATAAGAGGAAGTGGTGAAGAGCCGTCGAGACCACAKCGTCCAATGTATCGTCTGCCTGCCCAGTTTGTGTAGAAGAGAAATCCTGTATAAACGAGAAATAAATATTGCAAAATGGAACTGCCATGCTTTCCCGRCTAAASACACACAATATTTTACTTAATTCTCTACTTTCACATATCCGTAATGCTTTCTATTTTGKGGGGTTAACAATTGTYATTCAAATGTATTTCATTTGAATTACATTAAATTTGATTTGAGAGAGAATGCCTACCCGTCAAGATCAGAAGACATTATGGATAATGTAGTAATGAAGTAGAGAATACCAAAATTACGAATTTTACAAACCTTCCGTTGGATACACTACGAGTGCCTTAGCCTTCACTTGTGTCAGTAATGTCTTCATATATCTCCCAGACAAAGTGGTCACAAATATCTTATTGAGAAYCAAGTCACTGATATACAGATTTCTTCCCACCCAGTCCACAGCAATCGTTTCTGGCCATTTGAGTCCAGTCTTCACAATYACTTCTGAMCCTGTACCGTTTAGATAGGCTCGAAGGACCCGTGGTACCGTACCAACTTGCGTCCAGTAAAGTCGATGGCCTTCATAGTCAAAATCAAGGGCCCAGGGGTGGACATTATTCAGGACGATGTCCTTGTACCAGCCATTTATATCCATAGAACGGATTTGGTTTCGTTCTGAGAATATCAGGTAAGGTTTAGCTACTTTTCCAGTAGCTTTACACTCCCTACGATTGGTGGATTCAAGCTCGTATCCAGGCGCGCATGTGCACTTGAACGACCCTGGGAAATTCACACATAGTTG